TGGTCTTCAATGATCGGATGGACGCACAAATCGACATTTCAAATGGATTCGGGACAAGCGTATCAAATGTCTATTGACGTGCGAATAGTTGAGCCCAGAACGACGAATCTTCACCTCGAGGTGAGGTAGGGTCCTGGTTGACTCAACCGATATTGTTAGGAAACAGTCAGCGGCCGTTGAAATGAAAGCATAGCATGGGGAATGTCGATAGATATGGAGCAGAACCTACAACCTCGACACGACGTTCACTCAACCAAGGCTCCACCTCCCATGGACTGGAGACCAAACCCCTCCCGGTACCGGCTAAGTCGTCCCCTAATCCTCAACTCGGAAGAGGTTGGTAGGCAGAGTCAGCATCGCTTATACGCAAAATACTGCCCGAAGTAGCTAGACAGCTGAATCATTTGACCATTCCCATACCCCGTCTCCATCTCAGGATCCCCAGATGAAAAAGCCCGCCGTTGCTCTGTGCTTTCATCATCCATATCCAGTTACTACATCACCGGTCTTCAGAGCTAGGTCCACATCGAAGCAATTGAGTTTCGTAATTGGGGGGTGTGGCAGACAGAATGAGGCACTGGGTGGAGAGTTTGGCGCTATGAAGCTTCATGTGGGCCGGAAGCGGGCTGACTATCAACTAGGTCGTCGTTTTGCCCAAGGAGGAACTCTCCCGAGTAAGCCGGTTCAGTCCGCCAATGCATTGGACCACATCGTTCTAATCCCAAAAACCGCTCACTGGAAGACGGCACTAAGTCACGCCATGAATCAGGCAGTTGGGAACAGAACCAAGGCCTGTGGTAACTCGTCATTTCACAGCTGAGAATTAAGCTCTGCTCGGTTGCTCGGGTGAGTGGGGATTATTTTCATTGGAATCGCACAAGCTTCATTTACACATATCAAACGCCAATCCATGCCGGTGTTTCTTTTTTGTGAAACAAAGGAGAAAAAAAAATTGTGCTTCCAGTTAGGTGACGGCGATGGTTGGTGGTATGGTATTTTACAAGTTGCTCGCTGCAGGAAGATGAACCAACACCTCTGCAGTGATTATTTTCCCTTCTTCCATCTTTACACACATGCCTGAAAGCGATGCCATGAAGCCCCTTTCGTAGACGGTCTCATACCCCGGTCTATGTCCGTCCCCAAGTCTATAACCGTCTATTATTCTATGGTGATTTCCCATCAGACATATTGAGACGCGTATTCGTATTTATGACACAGCGGCTGGGTTTCTCATATCGCTCATTTCACATACGCAAGGACGTAGTGTGAAGCCCGGCCTCCATCAATGCGGATATTAAATTGTTTAGGTCTAATTAGAAGGTCAGCATCGACGCTAGAGACGTTTCAAATTGGCTTTGGAAACACGTACGAACTTGGCCATGAGGGCAACCATGAGATCGAAAAGACCAATGGCCTCAACGAAGGCGAAACCCAGAATGGCGTATGAGAAAAGCTGGCCACGGAGAGCAGGGTTGCGGGCAACACCGTTCAGAAGGGCGGCGAAGACCAGACCGATACCAATACCGGCACCGGTCAGACCAATTGCGGCGGAACCCATACCCAAGTTCTTGGAGACCTCAACCATGGCCTGGGCGATCTCGGAAGAGTAGGCACGGCGCTGGAAAGCCTGGCGGGTGGTGGTGCTCAGGATCTTGGAGGCCTGCTGGCGCTTGGCGGCCTGGAAAGGAGTGGCATTGCCTGGAAACAAGTGTCAATTGAATCGATCGGGCATTCGACCGGCTCGACGGGAGCCAATTGCGAGAAAAACGTACTGGCGATGGTGCGCTTAGCAGCAGCGTTGGCGAAAGAAGCGCGGACAGCAGGGCGAGCGACCTTGGTGCCCATAGAGGCAAAGGCGCGGGAAGCAACAATGCGAGCGGAGGCCATTGTGATAGATGTGGATGGGTTGTTGGTGATGGAGGGGGGAGTGTCGAGAGAAGAAAAGGCGGGTGAGTGATCTGATGGAAGAGAGATAAGAGCTGAAGAAGAGGAAGAAAAGCTTTCTTACGGTGCGGCAGAAAGGAAAGAAAAGTTTGACGGAGCTCTAGGAGAACGACAGAATAGTTGTTCCGGGGGCTGGGCATGGACCACCAGCTGGTACCGGCACTGTGTCTAGCGAATGAAGCCAAACTGTGGACTTGAATGAAACCCACACGGCGTCGACATAGTAGACACAATGGGGGGCACCACAGAGGTTGTGACAAACTTTTTTGCCCTTTGGAGGCTACCCAAAGGAGACAAGGCTGACGGGTTTCATTGTTCATTTACAGGGATGCCGGGCATTTCCGGGTACAGCGCTCAGTAGGGCCAACCGGCTCTCATCATTCTTGGCACGATTGTTTTTGCGGCTTTTACTGCCAACCTCGGTCGAGAACATGATAGAGCAAGTAGTGAATGCTTGGTTTCGGCATCAAAAGCATTCAATATTGGGAGCACGACATGGACTTGTTAGAGTGCTGATTGAGCAACACTAAACCGGGGCAAAGGATGCGATGCGAAAAGAGGCGGAAAACCAATATGAATCTCCACCGACTAAACTCGGTCCTCCACTTGGTCCGGTCTCATGGATAGCAAACATGGAGCCTAGCTGCTATCGGAACGAGCTCATAGGCGACTATACATGAGTGGAGCTTGTCTAATTACTCCTTGTCTGACGATAGCATGATATAGAATGTGGGAGCGAAACAACATAAAAGGGGGACGCATCCTCGTAGAGATGAGCACGTAGACGAACCGCCGCTTCTTCGAGACCACAGCAACTCTGCTGCAGGTCTCCAGTGCAACCAGCCGTGAATGCTAGCGTGAGTCAGCTCTGCGAAGAGTCACTCACATATCACCAACCGGGTATCCTATCTAGACGGCAAGCCAGGTTCATCTCGCAGATTGACGGCAGTCCGTCTGTGGCCTATTTCGGGAAATGGCGCGAGGGCCAATGGAAAGTCGCCAATCGTTGCTGGCCAGCAATCTTCGGCTTGACGTGCAGTACATACAGTACCTAGTGTACACCGCACGCCTCGCAGCGCCAATCCCTGCCAGCACTGGGCAGCGTGGGAGCAAGGAATGACTATAGCTATGTACCGCGGTACTGCTCGGCGACAGGGGGGCTATCGGAAAGGAGAAAGCTACCCCCGTGTCCAGGAGATTGGGAATTCATATGGATGTGGGTACCTCGATGGACCAATTTGGAAGCAAAAGGGGAAGGAGGTATTTTTCTGCCGCTGTTCCAAGCACCTTTCAGACCGCAGGGCCTTTGGACGAGTCATGGGTGTTTAAGCCTCACGCACCAGCTGCACTTGGCAAGATGCGACCCAGAGGTATAGCTCCCATCAAGTCAACTCCTTTCTCTAGTCAAGATTATGCAGTAAGAGTAGGTGTAAACATACACAATTAATGAGTGGCAAATGGCTGCACAGAGTGCTTAGTCGGTAGGGACTTTACGATGCTCTACTAAGATGGTCGAAGGAGTTGATGAAATGGTGCGCGGTGGCAGGCCTCGTCGCAAAATTTTTCCCTTGCAGCTGACGTGAAATGACGGTGAGATCTGCGCCGTATGCTTTGAATCTCATGTACCTGGGTACATGCCGCTGCCAAGCTGTCTTATCTCGGCTTAGTGTGCTGCTGCTTTGCGACACTGCAACACAGCTATCAATCAGTCTCCTTCGCTTCAAGAAGCTTGAGTCATCTTATATACCTACTTACTTAGGTATGTATCGGGTTGAACTCTGGTCTCTACACTATTGCCAAGAATAGTCCTACTAGGTATTGCTGTATTGGCCATGGCATAGGTACTTATACTCTCCTTACAGCCTCGGATACCTCGACGATTTAGGTACCGAATGCGCAGGTACCGTAGATATTAAGCTTATCTTCATACTGTACTTCGGCCTGTGCTACTGTCCAATTTCGTGGCTTGAATGTTCAGCCTGTAAGTTATAGGTCAGGTTTAACAATATGACAGATCCGGACGTCTAGCCCACCTACTCCTGCCACCCCTTTAGCTCAGGGTTGGTAATTAGTTAGTTTAGTTTAGTATGAGCCCATACTAATACTAATTAGTTTAGTATACAGAATTCCATACTAATACTAATTAGTTTAGTATAAAAAAATCCATACTAATATTAAACTAAACTAATTAGTATATTAATTAGTATATTAATTAGTATAAAATCACGTGATTTTAAAAAAGAAATTTAAAAAATAAAAATAAAAATAAAAATATTTATTTAAAGAAAATTAATAAAATAACGGGGTTAATTTTATAAAATTAAGCAAAAGTTTAACTTTTAAATAATATATTTTTTATTTTATATAGTTTATTATTATTAGCTTAAATAAATATATTTAATTATATAATATAAAAAATAAAATATATTTTAAATTTTATTTATATATTAAATAAAGGTTTTTAAATTTTATAAATTTTTATAAATTTATTTATATTTATATAAATTTAATTTAATTAACTGTTTAATTTTCCGATTTATTTCTGATTTTATATATAAAATATTAAAAAATTATATTTAAAAAATAAAATTTAAAAATAAATTTATTAAATATTTACTTATACGCTAACTATATTAAGTAGTTTTAAGTCACGTGATTTTATATTAAAATTTTTAAAAATAATTTTTTTATATAAATAAGCTTAATATTAAAAAATCACGTGATTTTTTTTTTTTTTAAATCACGTGATTTATATTAATTAATATATTAATTAATATATTAAACTAAACTAATACTAAAACTAAAAATTTATACTAATATTAAACTAAACTAATGCTAAAAAATTTATACTAATATTAAACTAAACTAATTAATTTAATATATTAATTAATATATTAATTAATATTAAACTAATTACTAACCTTGCTTTAGCTAGCCATGGCACTTTATACTTTACCTCCCTTTAAAAAAAAAATAAGGGCACTATATTAAATGGTGAAAACGGTCCTCGGTAAAATAGTTAAATATCCAAGCAAATTTCCCTTAAAAAAAGTGGTCGACCAGTGTGGGACTCGAACCCACAATCTTTGCCAGTGTAGCTTAGAAAAACCGGAAAGCAACGCCTTGCCATTAGGCCAACCGGCCGCACATGTCAAACTTCGTCTAAAGGAGTATTCTATGGCTTGGGGACATCAGTAGAACGCCTGGAGTTGTCGTAGATCATGAATAGCTAGCTACATAGGTAGGTACTAGTGATGGGAGTATCGTTGGGCGCATACTAGGAACTGTGTACCTTAGTTAGAATAGGTGTGCAACCAAGGGGAAAGGTAGACCGAGTGAGTGAAGCTACCTCTGTAAGAGCTTGGATGACATCTGTCGAGTCGCGTCTGCTTTGAACTATCGTAACATTAAACAGCTAGCTTTTCTACTTCCTGGATCATTACTGCGGTTAGGTTTATATAATATGAACTGCTTATCAAGTCTGCGCGATGAGGTTGACCCCTGACAGCGCAAGCGAGGAACGAGTATCAGGGGATAGACGCTCAAGTAAGGCAACATTGCGACAGCCCCAGAACTCCTTGTCGGGATTACAGACGACACGGCGAACATGATGTTATGGAGATGGCAGCGGCTGCGACCGTGCGAAATGCGGCGATTCGTAGTCTAACCCTACTCTAGTTTGAGTAGAATGATATTACATGCTAGCGACAAAACGAGTGGCTAACCTTTGGGCGCATCCTTATTTGATATAATGCTAAGTTACTGGCTGTTCGTCTACTCATGGGAGAGTTGCAAACGGCTTCGGATTTTCGTCGTCTTCATAATGCGCGTTTGGCTATCCGTCACACACTGTTAGCGAGTAACGATGTGCCAGAGTTTGATCAGTAAATATTTTAGGTATATTCTAGATCAGACATCCTAGTAGAAAGTTCTTTGTGTCTGTCGTGTTCTCGAGTCATACAATCTGTGAACAATACCGATTGCTTCAGCTGGGAATGTAGGCAGAGCATCTAAGCTACTATAGCATTTTCGGAGAGTCACGTCACCACAATCTATTATCAGACAAGCCTGGGACTGTTTCAGTCATTAGGACCTTTGCGTTTTGACCGAGAACAACGAGATTTTTTTGCGATACGTGGAATAAAGGGGCATTATGGCCTCCATCTCATTCTCCGGACTAAGAAACAAGTTTCCCGAATCATCATGAAGATGGATCAGGTCAGAGTTTGTTACCAGGCAAGGTAGCCTTCGAGGCAACACTCCTTGTTTTCACTTCTTTGCCTTATTTAAGCATTCGGACCTACCGCTGAATTGAAATCACCGTCATCAGCAGATACGAAAGCTTACCACAGGCAAAATACACGATAGCTACTGAATCTTACTATCAAGCCTTATCACTGCCCCCTCTAACCATCGTTATCTAGCGGGCATGTCAACAGCAACGCATCATCGAGACGCTTCTGCGTCACAAACGATATTTCTTAACTTTGAGAACCCAAGCAATGATGCCAGCCTCTGCTACGTTCGTCAAGACGCCATGAAATCGTTGCTCAAGATTTTAGGGTTGACGCCCGGGTTCATCTTATCACTGAAATCACAGCAAAAAAGAGCAATCATCTTCCTTGCGTCTTATGCAGTCGACTGGAGATCCTGTGTCAAAGAATATAATGATATCGCATTATGTTTTGGCCGACTACCCAAAGGGGAAAAGGCCTTAATATCGGGTCTGGGACAAGTGGACTGTGAGCCCTTGGATCATGCTCAACACATTCGGTTGGTAAGACAGCAGACCTAGTTTGGCCCCCGGCAGGACACGCGTCATGGAAGACACTGCTAACTAGGTCCAGGATCGAATCCAGCCAAACATTGTTCACCTGCACCAGAAGTCGTATCACCTAAACCGCGGCATTTCTACGGTGGCACCTCCCGGTGTGGTCGTTCCTCCGACGACAGGCCCACGACTGTTTACAGTAGCCGCCCCCGTCCCTAGTCACCCTCCTCAGTTAAATGGACAAGTGTTGCCGGCCCCTGCGACGGCCAGTGGTTCGGCTCTGGCGTTGGCTACGACCACTACCGCTGCAGCTGTAGCTGGCGGTGGCGCTGTCTCTAGCTCAACGCCTCCGGGTGGGCAAGCTTCGGCGGTAGCTGTTGGTTCCGGTACAAGCGGTGCCGTAACCCAAAATGATTCGTCATCAGGAATAGCCGTTGGCTCTACGGGCGCTACTGGCGGCGTTGGAACGACCGATAATGGTCAACAGGACAATCAAACGGACGCTGAGCGTCTCCCAGATGCTGTTGATAAAGCTGACAGCGACGCAAATAGCATTCCAGACGATCTAAGCAAGGCTGCCAGTGGTTCGGCCTCAGATTCATCGGCAGAGAATGGGGATGAAAAGGAAGAAATCAAGGAAGACGTTCAGGACGATGCTCACATGCAGGTCGACGACGACAACAGCGACGACAATGAGACTGATCCGAGCGCCGAGCTGGATGAGAAGGAAGTGAAAAACCACGATACCGCGCCAATCGCTGATGGCGAAGATGAAGATCGGCCAAGCAAGAAGAGAAAGCTTCACGCTTAGGAGACCGTGCACACATTTCAACGCAGGCACTTTTTAACTACTACGGCCCAGAAGCGTGTCGAGATATTCTCTTCCATTCCCTCTGAGCGCTCCCGTCTCTGCCGGGGTGGTTGATTGCGAAGAAAGGTCGCAAGGGACTGCTCTCAGCAGGGTTGTAACGCTCTTGGTGACAATCATCTCATTTACCCGAGCACCGCCAACGACAGATGAGAGGAATAAGTAACGAGGAGATGCTGATAGTTGAAAGATGTAAAACTTACTCTGGCCCGGTGAAGAGCACTTAATCAGCAAGAGGTAAAGCTGTGCTAGATCGCAAGAATGTGAACGCGCAGCACACCAATGATCGTAGATAATCATGAGTGATAACACCTCCGATCAGAGACTGAGGAGCAGACAACGAATAATTGACTCATTGCCCAGTGTGGCGCCTCAGCAACGCAAGCGTGGTTGAAAAGTGTGATCATTTCTTGATAAGAGATGGTGAATCCTTGACATTGCTACACCAAGACGCGTTTCTATCTAGGCTTTTCCGGCCGCAACAGCCTGCGAGTAGACTGACGGCCCGTCCCTGAAATTGCCTACACTTACCAGCAGCTCTACTACTACTACTACTACTACTACTACTACTACTCGTAATTTTGAAGTTCATTATATTGCAATTGTTCAGTAAGTAGTGATAGAATGTTGTTGGCTGAAACTTAACTTCAAATTTAGAATATCTCGATTGCAGTAAATTGAGGGCCAGTAATACAAAGAGTAAAGAGTGCACAACCCCATCGAAAAGACAATAGACTCACGCTACTCAGCTTAAAGAAAGCACATAGTAAGGGAAAATGTTTTAATTCAAGAAAGAAGAAATGTAGATTCAAAAATTAGTACCATGAGATGTTGATAATTTGTTTTGTCAGTTTAAAACACCTCATATCTGGTGCTTATAGCTCGCCCTGTGACGAATCTATTTTCGTACGCCCTTTACCACATTTATATCATATTTCTACCATTTCCATGTAAAGAAATTAAGTTCCGTGATCTTCTCGACTCTATGAACCAATCAATGAAGTATAGTTCTCAATCCTATAAATGTAATTCAATATTTGGCCGAACTTTTGTATTGAATACCGCTAATACTATAAGAAGCCACTATATACAAATCAATATATCCGTCTCTACATCTCCCGCGGCTAATCTCACTGTCCATATCCAAACCTCGAGAACTCCTCTAAATTATGCCGCGAGTCGGCATCAACGACCTCGTGCGGTGGCCGCAAGGTGACGTTATCGCCATGGATCTCCGCGACCTGACCATTTAGCGAGGTGTCGGTCAGCAGCCTCTCTAAGCCCGCGACGAGTGTGCTAGGCGGCGTCACAACCATGTTGGTGAAAAGGGCGTCTTTGCCCGCAATATTTGTCTCTGGTTGGTTTTCGTCACGTTAGCACATACCACCACCACCTAGGTACGGTGGATACGCATGATGACGTGAAGACGAAAAACTTACTGAGCACCGCCGGCGCCAGCGCATTGATCCGGATCCCGATATGTGGCTGCCCATATACGGGACCGAGCGAGCGAACGAGCCCGACTATGGCGTGCTTCGACGCCGCGTATAGCGGCTGCGGCGGGAACGGGTACAGGCCTACGTTAGACGCCGTGCATACGATGGAGCCGCGGAGGCCTGTCGTCGCGTCCGGCGTGTTGCGCTGCATGTAATGGAGTGCGAGTTTCACGGCTGTGATGGGGTTGTCAGTTTGAGTGACTGACTCGCCGAATTTGAGTTGAAGTTCCACCTTTTACGGCCAACATAAGAGCAGAGTACCAGGTATCCCACCGCGCCTCCTTCTCTGCGTTTTCGAAAGACAAAAGATATTAAATAACAAAAAAAGGAATAAATAAGTCCTCGACAGGAGTAATCTACAGACATAATACAAGCTGCGTTGGGGGGGGGGGGGGGGGGAACCAAAATTTTTATAAAAAAAAAAAAAAAAGGGCAAGACAAGGCAAAACGAACCTAAAAATTGAAAAGGGGAGAAACAAAACACATACAGTAAACATTACCAACAAGATTCACATCAAGAACCTTCAACCTCGGCTCTTCAGGCTCCCCACTACCGCCTTTATTTGCCCCTGTCCCGTTCCCCGTCGCGGACGGAAAAAGAGGGATAACCCAGCTTCTTCCACCCTCAGAGACGCCTGCGTTCGCGACCACGACATCGATGCGTCCAACATCTTCGTACACAGCCCTGAAGGCGGCCGCCTGCTCCTCCCACGAGGAGATGTCGCATTTCCGAAATCGCACTGCTTCACTCACGTCCGGGATCTTGAGTTCGGCAGCGACGGCCGGGCCGTTAGCACCATCAATGTCGAGGATGGTGACGACGTCCCCGCGAGCGGCGAAATAGCCGCTCATGATCTTCCCCAGGCCGCTTGCGCCGCCCGTGACGATGACGCTGCGGCTTTTCGGGGTCGTCATTTGGTGACCTTTGGACTCTAGATGGGTGATATGTATGATACAAGGGTTCGGGATGAGAAAACGGAGTTGGGGAAATCTACTGTAGTCTTGGCCG